CCAGGTAACTGTTATCATTGTTTGCCCAGCCAGAACGAGTATTCCCAAGGCTAATTTTGGATGACTTTCCATGTGCAAGTTCCTGTCAGACTTGGGAGGTAGCTTGTAAGGCGATAAGAAATGGAGTGTTTATGCCGTAGTGTTATGTTCTCCCTTCCAGTTTTGCCACTGGGGTGAGAGATACGTGTCACTGAAGCTTGTAAGACTATTTTCTGGGTGCCAGGTGAGAGCTGCTGGTTGGTCTGTGTTCACTGCAGCACTGTGCAATTAAAAAGCCACTTGTGTTTGCACAGTTAAAGTAGGAATAACTGGGGTGAGGTAGGAACATAGGCCAGGCAGTGGTGAAGTGGAAACTGGAAATTTTCTTTGGGTACCTGCATAGATCAGGTTTCCTGCATGTCGGGCAGTATTTAACATAGAGTTATGATCAGTTAGGAGGGACCCACACTCTTTGAGTCTTAACTGGCACCAGTCATCTTTAAGTAGATTCCTTTTAAGCAAGGTGATCCTTGTCAGCAGCCACAAAGTCAGCTGCTGACATACTGGTGTCAAAATAGGGAACACGTGTGTGAGTGGGTTTTGTAAGGTGGAGGTGGCTGGATAATGACGGTGTATTTTTCTCTCACCGCTTTTATGCCGTTTTCAGGGTGAACACTTTGGAACCACTGAAGCCACAGAAGCTTTTTTTGCTATGACCAGACTATTTCAATCTAATGATGTAAGTACCTAGTGTTTACCACTTACTTCACCCGTGCTTTTGTCTGGATTTGCAGGAATTACAAAACAGTTGGATTTTGGGATGTGGGAGGAGGATGAGGCAAGTACTTCAGAGAACAAAGTACTCACTGAAGTTAACGTGGATTTTTTTTTTTTCTTGTCTTATTGTTTTACAAGATACAGATCTCTTATTCTCCTGGTTTGCTTGATAACAGGGAGTAAGGCTGTTATCCAATTATCAAAATGGTTTGACTTGTATTCTTTAACTGTGTGTAGAAGTGAGGAAGGGGATGTTCTCTTTAAAAGTTGATTTAACTTTTAAAGTTAAATATTTAACCTTTTAGTTTATTTAACTTTTTAAAAACTTATAGGAAGTGTTTATTCACAATTGCCAGTGGGTTTAATGGTTTTCTGCAATACTCTTTCACAGCAAACCCTTAGAAGAATGTGTTACCTTACTATCAAAGAGATGGCCAATATTTCTGAGGACGTCATCATCGTCACAAGCAGGTGAAAACACCGTATCAGAGCTCTGGAACAAGCAGCTGCATCTGAACGTGTTTGGTTTAGCTGCTATAGTTTTCTGTAATTATGCTTTATAAAAGATACAACAAGGGAAAACAAATCGTTCTGTGATACAGAATATATGTCACCAAATGAAATGTTCGTTTCTTCCTACTGTGATGTTGCTTTTTTCTGAAAAAGCAAGAGGCTTTCCTGCCATTTATGAACTTGCTGCTACTGTGTTTTCTTGGTTTGTTTCTTTTAAAGTTGTTGGTTCTTCCTGGTTTTGTGAAAACTTAGGCTGTGATTTCTGTTTCGCTTTGCTGTCAGAGCAGTTAGGGAAAAGCAGAGCAAAGCTCAGTTCGATCTGCCAACTGAACCATCAATTTTTTTTTTGATAGCAGTATAGACGTTAGAGTTTTTGCCAGAGCAAAAATTGGATCTGTGGCATGTGCTAAGTGATTGGTTTATTTAATAATTTTTTTTAAAGCTGTTCAGCAAACTAAACTTCTCTATTATCTAAACCTCTATTATCTACATTTTATCTGATAGAAAGCAGAACACTAAGAAGGAGAATGGCTGAGCTAAATAACCCAGGCCTATGGCAAAGCAATGTTATGGACTCTTCATTTTGGAATGTTCCGTGTTTCCTCAGAATCTTATGTTAATAATTTTCAAATAGCTAATTATTAAGACGTCGTTTGTAGCCAATACTAGAGCTTAGCAGTTATATGGTAACAGCTTGAAGAACAGCTAAAGCAGATGAGGTGAATGTCACAAAAGAACCAAGTCACCAAGGTACTAAAGAAGCATTCACAGGGTGTCTTTGGGTTATTTTAGTTTGACCAAGGACATGACGGGGAAGGAGGATGTGTACCGAGGCCCGGCCATCCGAGCGCTCTGCAGGATCACTGATGTAAGTACAAACCACATCACTGTTGTGGGAGAGTCCCTGAAATAGAAAAACCACTCTCTTGCAGAGTGTATTCTTGTAGTAGTGATGGAGCTGCTGCTTTAGGGGGGACTGCTCTGAAGCCCTCTGCAGATGTGAGGAGCTCTGCAGAGCTGTACCACTGTAAGCAGGGAGTTGGAAGGCGGGAGCTTTGGAGCTCTGGTTTCTCATCTGAGGTTGCTGTAGACTGATTATGTCACTGAACCTTCAGGACTGGGCACCTGATACTCATGTCTCCCTTGCAGAACTCTGTTTTCAGACGTAGTTCGAGACATCTTCTGAGGGCCTTCTGAATATCTGGTGCCTTATACTGCTTTTACACTCTGCCTCCAAAGTATCAACGCTCTTCTCTTTGCCTTTCACAGGGCACAATGTTACAAGCCATTGAGAGATATATGAAGCAAGCCATTGTGGACAAAGTCCCCAGTGTGTCCAGTTCTGCACTGGTGTCTTCCTTGGTAAGTAAAGCCGTAGGTTATTGTAGATCTGTACATTGTGTTGTGGCTGGGAAGGCCAGTCTGCTGCTTTTGTAGCTCTGCCTGGCCTTTGTTTTGTTCTTTTTTCATCTCCTTTTCCTTTGAGATGACTCTTTTTCATCTCCTCCCTGGAAAACAAACGAAAAATAGTAGCAACGGAGCTTCCTTTGTCTCAAGCAGACTCTGACTTCTCAAACTCCTTCTTTAACATTCTCTTGCTTTAGAGTTTATCAGTTGTAGTAACTTCAAGCACAAAGTGCTCAGTCATCTCTCTATGCAGTCAGTGTAGAACACTAATTTCTCTGGTTTGCCTTGAGAAGTCAAGCACACTGATGTCTGTGAAAGTGCTTAGCAGTTTGGTGAGAGCAAGTAGAAACAACCTGTGCTGTGCTGTGGAAGAACTAAGGATGATGACTGTGAAAGAGCATATGAGTTCTGTAACAGGAGCTAAGCAGTCTGCTTTGTGCTCTGCTAAAACCAAATCTATGAAATTGCTGCCCTGCTAAGACTGCAATTCGAGATTATTTTCGCTAATGTGTAGTAGGAGGGCAAGATTAAGAAGTTCCCTGTTTTTCTCGCCCTTGTTTAGGAGAAAAGGCTGGAAAACATCATGTTAGATTAATATTTTTATTAAAAGAGGAGAATACAAGTGAAAGCACAGTAGTCTGAGGCTGAGATGTAAGAAAAACAGTCATTTATGGTTGTATTGGGTAAAGAAACTGGCTGCATTAGTAAATCAAGAAGGCAGAGCAGGTGGTAAGAGATCCAGTTGATGAGCTGGAGTAGAGCCTGTGTTGGGACCCTGAGGGTGCAAACAAAGCTGTATTAATGCTGACAATGGAAGCCTTGCTGCTGGACTAACCATAGGCAGGTGAATTGTCCTGTTATGGTCTTCTCTCCTGTTGGAACATAAACAAAAACTCTGAGACAAAGAGAAAAATCCGTACAAACTATGTATTTGGGAGTGATTCTTTGTCACCTGTAGTATAGAATCATAGAATGGTTTGAGTGGGAAGGGACCTTAAAGATTGTCTAATTGCAACCCCCCTGCCATGGGCAGGGACACCCTCCACTACACCAGGTTGCTCCAAGCCCCATCCAAGCCGGCCTTGAACACTTCCAGGGATAAGGCATCCACAACTTCTCTGGGAAAAAAATTTGGGCTCGTCCGGGATTTGAACCCGGGACCTCTCGCACCCTAAGCGAGAATCATACCCCTAGACCAACGAGCCACTGGCAAAAGCAAAACTCTAGATTTTATTGACGTTTTTAAGCTTCAAAACTGGGAACTAGGCTGATGGTACTTGGCTGTGCTTCTCATGTTAGTTTGCCTGCAGTCTCACTTTGTGGCTTCTTCCAGCACATGATGAAGATCAGTTATGACGTAGTCAAACGGTGGATCAACGAAGCTCAAGAAGCAGCTTCTAGCGACAACATCATGGTGCAGGTATGTTTGAGGGTTGTCCTGGGAAGCTCTAAACGCACTCCAGGGTTTTAATGGTATTCTGTGAGTTCTTAAAATAATCTTGGAAAAAGTAACTGATTTCCCTTTTTCCCTTATTCTTTTAAAAACAAGAATTGTGACTTGAGGGAAACTACTCAACTGTTTCAAAAAAATCGTTTCTCTGTGATCCTGGTGCAAGATTTTTAATCTTTAGTGCAATCCTCTGCCCTTTCCCTGCTAACCTTCTCTTAGCTGGGATGCTGGTGACTGTTTCCCCCTAGTTGTTGCAGAAGGCCTTTGAATCTGAGTTTCCAAAAAGCTTAAATTATCTCACTGCCTCCCAGAACACCAGCATCTCTTGTCTTGGCCTTCAGAAAATTTGCCAGTTGCTACAGGACCACAGAGGTTAGCCTGAATATCAGCAAGATAGCCATATTAACAAAGTCTTTGCACAGATATTCCGGACAGCTGTGGAGATGAAAGTATTCTGTATGTTCAGTCAGTGTTACAGACTAAAATCTGTACAGTCAGCTTTGTTCTTGCCCAATTAGCAGCTTCATTAAGCCTTCCTGTGAATCAGTCTTGTAGCAGAAAAAAAACCAAAACAACTTGGCAAGCAACTAGAAATGTTCTTTGTACTGTCACCATAAATGCCTCAAGGATTTTTGTAAATTCAGCTGTCATTTAAAGGCCTCGGGATATCCTGGATGTTGAGTGTACTAGAAATGGAGGTGTTATTGTGCAGCACAATTTAGTAAGCTCAAGCTTTTGAAGTTCTGACATTTAACGGGGAGAAAAGGGAGTAGACTAATTTCATGGCTCTCTTGATCTTCAGAAAGATGTTGAGGCTGTCCTACGGGAAGGGAAGGAGATACCACAGATCTTTCTAACTTGTCAGGAAACCTGGAGTATTTGAGGTTAGAAGGTATTTCTACTAGGAAACAGCAATTATTAGCCCATTTTTATGTCTTAACAGTCTGGCTTTTCCAACTGCAGTGTGTATCAATACCTGCACATCTGTTTCTGATTTCCTAGTACCATGCTTTGGGGCTGCTCTATCACCTTAGGAAAAATGATCGCCTTGCAGTTTCCAAGATGCTGAATAAATTCACTAAATCTGGACTGAAATCCCAGTTTGCGTACTGCATGCTGATCCGAATTGCAAGCAAACTCTTGAAGGAGTCTGAAGAGGGGTGAGTAAGGGACAACATGTGAATTACAAAAGTAGTTACAGTTTGAGGTAAACAGTAGCTAGGAAATTTTGCATTTGCTTAAAGTTTGTGGAAAGCTACACGCAGACAGAGAGAACTGTAGTGTTAAAAATAAAATGCAGGTAGAAGCAGAACACTAGTCTGAACTGGGTGGTGGTATGTATCCTTATGATAGAAGGAAGAAATTTTTTCACTCTGAGGGTGGTGAGGCACTGGCACAGGTTGTCCATAGGAGTTGTGGCTGCCCCATCCCTGGAAGTGTTCAAGGCCAGGTTGGATGAGGCTTTGGGCAACCTGGTGTAGTGGAGGGTGTCCCTGCCCATGGCAGGGGGGTTGGAACTGGATGATCTTTGAGGTCCCTTCCAACCCAAACTGTTCTGTGATTCTATGTGTGGCAGGTGTGTGGGGGCATTTGGATTTTTGTTTTGACATCATACCACCAAAACATAGCTGAGAGTTGGATTAAAACTGCAGAATAATCTCTGGAGAGGTTTTGTACTCTGTCTAGTTAGATAGATTTCAAATGCAGGAAGGATCTACTTAAGTTGTAGGGATATAAATAAAAGGATTTCCCTTACTCTGACCTTGCAATAGCAGAGGAGGGTGTAACTACCTGAGAAATTCACCTCCTGATGAAATTCTTCTATCAGTGGAAATTTTTGTTAATGGTGTGTGATACGTGATAAATAATAAAGTATGTATTTCTGGAGAGCAGCATTTCTAGCTTGAAGAAGATAAGGTAAAGATGGGCAGAATAACAATAAATAGAAAGTTTAGAGCTCAAGTATGAGTTGAGCAATATGATGGCGTAGGAACTGTGAAAGCCAGTGCTCTAACCATGCTTTCTGTCAAGTTCTCAAACGTGGTGTCAGTGGTTTGATGCGAAATGTCTTCTGCTTGCAGCCATGAAAGCCCACTGTTCGACTTCATTGAGAGCTGCCTGCGGAATAAGCACGAAATGGTCATTTACGAAGCTGCTTCTGCCATCATCCACCTCCCGAACTGCACCGCCAGGGAGCTGGCACCTGCTGTTTCAGGTTGGTCGTGGAGTCCTTTGTGCCACCGATGCTGCTGAAAGAAAGGCTGGTAAAGCACGTCAGAGACAGTACAGTGTAGCTCAAATATTGGACTCAAAACCTGACTTTTCTGATTGTTCCCACGTTAGAGGGCTTTTGGATGAGAAGCAGCTTGATCCCTTTTTCCCATTTCATCCAAAGCTTCAGGGAATGGGCACTGGAGGCAGCACAAGGTGACACTTGCCTTTTTCCAGCCACAGGAAGTTGAGGTGGGAGGGAAGGTAGAGGAGAACTTGGTAGCACAGATGTGCCACAAACAACTAGACAAGCCACATGCTACTGATATAAGATGAAAAATGGGAAGTTATTTTTAACTTGCTTGTGAATCTGGTGAATAGAGCTGCATGAATGTTTAGTATCACACAGTTCAGCGTGGATACATTAGACTTTGCTCTCTATTCCCTTTCTTTGAAAGAGATCGTATCTGGTTTTCTACTGTGGTGAATTCTGACTAAATGATTTGCACCTCAATATCAAAGTGCTGGCAAAAAGGCAATTTCCCTTTCCTCATCTGGTTTGGTCATGAAGACTCTCACGTTCTGCTCCCCAGACATTACAGGTGCCTCAAGTTGCAGTACTGGGAGCCATTTTTTTTATTAAACAGCTTCTACTCCGTAATACTTTGTTGTGAGTTACCTCTCTTGGTTGTTTATGTATTTATTTTTATTTTCAGTGCTGCAGCTTTTCTGTAGTTCTCCCAAGCCTGTCTTGAGATACGCGGCTGTACGGACCCTTAATAAAGTGAGTGCTTCCAAAACCTCTAAGCAAGCATAAATCTCTGAGCATCAGAGGAAACCAGACTTCAAGGCCTAATGGTGTGTTACCTAAAGTAGAGCAGCTGCGCTTGTGATTACTGTATTTGGAAATACTCTGTGTTGGAGAATTGGCTTTTCTGTGCCAAGTCTCCTGGTGTGACAGAGGTCTTTTTTGTACTCAAGCTATCTCTGCTCATTTCTGGGCCACAGCCAGCTATAGCTGGATAAATTGTGAGCTCTCAGCTGTAAGGAAGCAAAGTCTCGGATATTTAATACTGCAAAAAGTGTGCATAGGATGTGTGGGAAGGAAATAACATTCCGATTTCAAAGCTGCACACTGCAACAGAAACAGGTTGTGACTGTCAAACCCATGAGCTGTAACTTACAGTTAGAGTTTGTTTGAAAGGCTGAAACAGAAGAACCTGAGCTTTGATTGCATCCTGCCAGCGGTCATACGATGCAGGTTTAGTTGCAATCCTTGTGGAGCAGAGCAGTGCTTGAAAAAAATACGGGCTTTAATCCTTGCCCCATCAAAAGCTTTGAATTGTAGGATGTTGTTGTTCCTGTATAATTTGGAATTGCGTTCTTTACAGGTGGCCATGAAGCATCCATCTGCAGTCACTGCCTGCAACCTGGACCTGGAAAACCTCATCACTGACTCCAACCGCAGCATCGCTACCCTCGCCATCACCACCCTGCTGAAGACAGGCAGTGAGAGCAGTGTAGACAGGCTCATGAAACAGATCTCTTCCTTCGTGTCAGAAATATCAGATGAGTTTAAGGTGTGGCATTGGAGGCCTCTGCTCTTTCCAGCTGCAGGTTTTTCTCCCATTCTTGTCTTTATGAAGCTTTTCCCAGTAGTTAATCCTTCAGTGACTTAGTCTGATAGAGCAAAGCCAGCCTGAAATTCAGAAGGTGTAGACCTCTGTTTTCCAACTCAAATTACTGTGTCATTTCCTCCCACTGCTCCAAGAAAGGATAAAGGTTGTTGTTTGGATTCCTGGCTCCCATGCAGTATCCTGCAAAATTTTGTACTGCCTTCTGATTGCCTGTCTGGAGAGGAAGAGGGCTTTTAACTGTTCTGATTGAATCTGTATCACTACAGTCTGATATATAGTTAGGAAATAGTGTGAACTGTAAACTTCTACCTAATTTGTCATAGAATCATAGAATGGTTTGGGTTGGAAGGGGCCTCAAAGATCATGCAGTTCCAACCCCCCTGCCATGGGCAGGGACACCCTCCACTACACCAGGTTGCTCAAAGCCCCATCCAGCCTGGCCTGGAACACCTCCAGGGATGAGGCAGCTGCACCTTCTCTGGAAAACCTGGTCCAGTGCCTCACCACCCTCACAGTGAAGAATTTCTTCCTTATATCCAATCTAAATCTCCCCTCTTTCAGTTTAAATCCATTTCCCCTTGTCCTATCACTACACGCCCTTGTAAATGTCCCTCTCCAGTTTCCTGTAGGCCCCCTTTAGGTACTGGAAGGCTGCAATAAGATCACCCCGGAGCCTTCTCTTCTCCAGGCTGAAAAGCCCCAACTCTCTCAGCCTGTCAAGTGTAGACACTATGAACTCAGGTAATAACTTGGCTAAGGATGATAGTTCACTTGTATCTGTCCCTTTTACACCATGGAGTTGCCTTGAGGAGCACAGCATGTCTCTACAAAGTCATCGTCCACTAGTGTACAGTGGTCTCAAATTCATGTTTCTGTGAGAAAAAGAGATAAGTATTAGGAAAGTTTAAAATTGAAAAGAGCTTCAATGACAAAATGTAACTAGTTAAGTTCGAAATAGGTCAGGATCATCGCTGGGCAGAGGAAGTGAGAGGAAGCCTTTGAATTTAGGTGGTCCATTTTAAATTATAGTCCCTCTAGCAGAGCCAGGTCTTGCAGCACGTTTGGGACAAGGTTGTTAATGCACGTAACGCTGAGAGTCCACCACCTGATTTTCATCCTTCTTGTGCATGAATTTAATCTGTCAAGGTGACAACTTGAGATAACGAGAAGCCTGTATTTTGCACGGAAAAATAAATGTGCGTGACTAACGTCCTTCTCTGTTGTTTTGCAGGTAGTGGTAGTGCAGGCTATCAGTGCTTTGTGCCAGAAATACCCTCGGAAACACAGCGTCATGATGACCTTCCTCTCCAATATGCTCAGGGATGATGTATGTTTGAAACTTTCCTTGTGTAGTTATTGGCAGGGAGCTCCGAGAGATAGTTTGAAGCCTCTCTTCTGTCTTACATCTGTGGGTACACAACAGTGGTGGGGCCTGAGACCTTGTTTATCTCCTGGGTCAGGCCTGTCTGAAATGTGCTTATGAATTAGAGCTGATACACCAAAAACTGATCTGAAGAGACGCTCAGATAACGTGCCTTTATGGCTCAGGGGGGACTGGGAAGACCCCGTTGGGTTGTCCACTATGCCTTCTCGTTTAATGTACAAATGCTTGTTTTTCTCCATGGAAAGAAGTAACTGAAGCGTGAGGGGAATGAGGAGCATTGTGGCCTGAGCTCTGCCTGCCGGGTCAGTGTCCTTGATTTTCCTTTCCCAGGGTGGCTTTGAGTACAAGCGAGCCATTGTGGACTGTATAATCAGCATCATTGAGGAGAATCCTGAGAGTAAGGAATCGGGCTTGGCTCACCTCTGCGAGTTCATTGAAGACTGCGAACACACTGTCCTCGCCACGAAGATCCTGCATCTGCTGGGGAAAGAGGGGCCGAGGACTCCGTCCCCATCCAAGTACATCCGCTTCATATTCAACAGGGTGGTACTGGAGAACGAGGCTGTGAGGGCTGGTAAGTTCAGCTCAAACGCTTGACGGTTTCATATCTCAGTTCTGCTGGAAATCTCAGGGCTGAAACTGGGTTTGGGGATGGGAGGCAATGGGTACTCCACAAGCACTGTGAAGAGCTAGCTCTTTGCATCAGCTGTGAAGGTGATTTTATCCTGCAGTGTGTTTAAACTCCTCATATCTTCGTAGCATCAGCGCCTGGTCCTCCTTTGCAGAACATAAGCAGTATGTTAGCTTCTAGTCCCTTCTTTGAATGTCTGCCAAAAGTTGGGAGGTAATGTGTGAGGAGAGGATGCTGCTGCTTCAGTAGGAAACAGAATTGTCTCCTGTAGATTATCATCTTTTTGTATGGAAATCTCTCCTCCAAGATACGGATTCCTCCTTGGAAGTGTGTTGTGGGCTGATACTTCCTTCATGTGGAGCCTTTACAACAAACCCTTTAGAGTGTTCAGCCTTTTTTCACACTTGGGACTTGGCAATGGAGGGATATCAGCATTGGCTTGACCTCCTGTGTGTTAGAAGAGGAAATCCTACTAGGAGGAAGGAAGCAGAACAAGCCCACAAATACAGTGTGGTGCAGATTGTGTTTGATTGTTGATGATGGCTGTTTTGGTCACAGTTTCCTAATTGTGACCTGGGAGCACATGAAGAACATCCTTCAGAGAGCATATACTGCATAGAAACCTTTTCATTTTCAAAACATGGATACTTTTTTAACCACCAAGGCCATAAAGCTTGTGCTTCCTTTCAGAGCTTTCTCTTCTTTATGTGGAATTTCTTCAAGCTGATGCTGAGCTGGAGTTAGATTAGTTTGGACAGGCAGCTCGAAGTGATTGCTGAGAGGTTTTGGCTCCTTGCAAAGTCACAAGATGCAGTCTGGCCCTGGTCACCACTGGATGTGTGTCACCTCTGTGAAAAAGATTCATCTGAGGGTGTGAGCTACAACTAGTGGCAGAGGGGCCAACAACTGGAATGAGCCATGGAGCTTGAACTAACCTTATCTGATAGAAAGTTCTCTCAGAGCAGAGTTGCAGAGCTGTTAAGCTGATCTTGTTTTCATAGATTTCATAGATTTCTAGGTTGGAAAAGACCTTAGAGATCATCCAGTCCAACCGTCCCTAATCCCCATTACACCATATCCCTAAGTAGATCATCCATCCTATTCTTAAACACATCCAGGGATGGGGACTCAACCACCTCCCTGGGCAGCCTAAACAGTTTTGTTATTCCCTGACATGAAACTATAAGGACCTGTTGGAGCGGGTCCAGAGGAGGCCACAGTAATGATCCGAGGGCTGGAGCCACCTCTCCTATGAACACAGGCTGAGAGAGTTGGAGTTGCTCAGCCTGGAGAAGAGAAGGCTTCAGGGACACCTTCTAGCAGCCTTCCAGTACTTAAAGGGGGCTTATCAGAAAAATGGGAATGGACTCTTTAGCAGGGCCTGTAGTGGTAGGACAAGGGATAATGGTTTTAAACTAAAAAAGGATAGATGCAGACTAGATCTAAGGAAGAAACGTTTTACGATGAGGGTGGTGAAATACTGGCACAGGTTGCCCAGAGAGGTGGTAAATACCTCATCCCTCAAAACTTTCAAGGTCAGGTTGGATGGGGCTCTGAGCAACTTGATCTGGTCGAAGATGTCCCTGCCCATGGCAGAGGAGTTGGATTAGATGACCTTTAGAGGTCCTTTCCAACCCAAACCATTCCATGATTCTATTTTCATTTGAAAATATGAAAATAGTTTAGTCTTTCCGTAAGACTAAAAGAGTCATGGTGTGGAAGTGAAAACCTGTATGAATTGAACCTTCAGGACAACAGTACGCACAGTGCTTTAATCATGACCATGAGAATGTGTTTGCTCATAGCTTGAGCACCTCTGACGTCTCCCTGTTTTCTTCTCTAGCTGCCGTGAGTGCACTAGCCAAGTTTGGTGCCCAAAATGAGAATCTGCTTCCCAGCATCTTGGTGCTTTTGCAGAGGTGAGTGGGTGTGGCTGTGCTGTGTGTGTGCTGAGCTTACTGGTGACACTGGGTGGTGTGGCTCCACAGAAGAAGCAAGGTCAGACCAGGTCAGAACTTGCGCTGGGGTTGTCACGACATACCAGTAGAGGAGTCTGGAGATGATTGTCTCCCACCCTTCCTTCCTGGCTGGAGGGAGCATAGCACTGCTGGAGATAAGCAAATGAAAAATGTGATTCGTCATGGAAGCATCTGATAGCAATCTGGTCCGAGAACATTCCTCAGTGGCTAATAAATCTACAGTGGTTTAGTATACCTGTACATTTTTTGCATCCCTCGAAGCAAGGAAATGGATTTTGATATTACTCATAAAAAACTTTATATGGCTGAGTAGCAATCTCCAGTATTCCCAGTTCACAGGTTTGTGTCTCTTGTTAAGACCAGCCAGCCTCCTTAAATTGTCTGTGCCGTAAATGTCGTGTTCTTCGTTTGTCTAGCGCTGTAGTGTAAACCCATGCCATGTCTGGCTTCCGTCGTGTGAGGGATCCTTCAAATTATGGACCACTTCAGGCAGAAGGTGACCTCAGTGTAGGTGCAAGGGAATTAAAACTGCAAGAAGTGACTTGAGCAGTGCAAGGAGGGAGGGAAGTCGACAGGAGAGGGAGAGAATCTCTTTATAAACAACCATAGTTAAAAACTAGGTGACTACTTGAGAACACAGCTGTTTTTTCAGTCTGAAATAGAAAGCAGCTTTAACATGTTGGGGTTTGTAATCTATTTCTTCTGCTTTTTTTCTATTGTGAAAGAATGCTGAGAAACAAAACAAAGACAAAACAAAAAAAAACCCACAAAAATACAGTGCAACCACACGGTGCCCATCAGAATTATTAGCCATAAAATGCAGATGTATATTTTATAATCTAGCAAGTGTGGGGGGTGTTAACAATTCGCATGCACATCTCCTTTAATCTTACTTTTCTGATGTAACACTTGCACCTAAACTTCAAGTTAAACTTCAACTACTGTCTTGTATGAACAATTTTTTTTTTCTGTAATTTGCACATCTGTTGAGAGCGTTCAGCCTGTCGTTGCGGTATCGCGCCCGGTCTGGTCAGTGCCATTTTTAGCTCAGTTCTCACGATGTCCTCAGTGGGCTGACTGCTGTCCTCTTGTTCCCAAAACAGGTGCATGATGGACAGCGATGACGAAGTTCGGGACAGAGCCACGTTCTACCTGAATGTGCTGCAGCAGAGGCAGATAGCACTGAACGCTGCCTATATTTTTAACGGTCAGTGATGGAAAGGAAAGAAGTCCGAGCTGTTAGTTCATGTTCTGTGTTATGGGTGGGCTGTCATGCTGTAAGAATAATTTTCTTTAATGTAACTAGTAAAGACAGAACTGCGTGGTTTTTTTTTTTTTCTGGCCCTAGTGCTTTCCTGTGAAGTATTTGTGCTGAGAATGGCAGATTTAGCAAAAGGTGGGAAGGATTGTCTAGGAAATGGAGCAGGAGTATGCATTGGGCCTTTGTCATTGCCTGTTCCTTCACTTGGGACAATTTTCTTAATCTTTGCTCCATATTCTCCGTTGCAAAATGAGGGTGGCACATCTTGTTGCCAGGGTTCATGATAAATTTTTTTTATGGTCTGTAGTTAAAAGTTCATGCAAGCAGAGTATTTTAGGTATTTAAGACTATTGCAAGATGACTTTTCCTGAGTGAACTGTGGCTGCCCCATCCCTGGCAGTGTTCCAGGCCAGGTTGGATGGGGCTTTGGGCAACCTGGTGTAGTGGAGGGTGTCCCTGCCCATGGCAGGAGGGTTGGAACTGGATGATCTTTGAGGTTCCTTCCAACCCAAACCATTCCATGACTCTATGAACTGTTTAGACCACAGTACCCTCTGGAGTGGCAGCTTTCTGTGCCATCTTCAGAGCTGTTTTTTTTTATTGTATCCAGTATCTTGAAGTACTTGGTGTGTGTTTTGTGTTTACTGAGAAATCAAGTGCTTTTACCAGTTTTTGTTAACCAAAGTCCAAACCATATCTATCTAGCCGTAAACTCTAGATTCCTCACAAGATTTTTTTTTTTTTCCTCTGCAGCCTGAGCCAACGGACAGGCTACAGGGAAGAGCTCTTTAAATCATCTTCCTTGTTTATATCTCATGAGGGAGGGAACTGAGACACGGACAAGTTTTTCAGACTCTGACATCTTGTTGCTTTTGGTGCAGTGGGCAATCCAAAATTCACTCTGTTCATTTGTGAACCCTGTATCATCGTGTCTGTAGGCGTCTGACAATTCCTGCTCTTAAAATTGAAATTTTCTGCCTGTGCTTCTGCTTTGCAGGGTTGACTGTCTCTGTTCCTGGGATGGAGAAAGCCCTACACCAATATACACTGGAGCCTTCTGACAAACCTTTTGATATGAAAACAGTTCCGCTGGCTACTGCACCAATCTTTGAACAGAAAGCAGGTAACCCTCGGGCTTTAAGTAGGCTCTAGGCAAGGCTATAAGTGTTCAGGTTGCCATAATGGTACTTGATGTCTGTAAACTGGCTGCTGTTCTCGTAGAGTTAGGCCAAGACACCATGGAGGTGGCTCAGGTGAATGCCATCGGTGTCACTGGCTTTGTAGAAGCAAGCCTGCCTGATCTTTGCAGATAAAGGAAGGCAGTGCCTCTTCCAAAGGAGTATGGGTTGGCAAGAATGTCGTTATTCGTTCTGCTAATCTTATTATCAGAGAGGAGTTTGTACATCATTAGAGATGATGTCGTGAGACCGTCATGAGACCTGGTTACCTGGGATATGGAGAAGGCTGAGGTACCCAATGACTTTTCTTCCTCAGTCTTCACTGGCAAGAGCTCCAGTTGCACAGCCCAAGTCACAGAAGGCAAAGGCAGGGACTGGGAGAATGAAGAACTGCCCACTGTAGGAGAAGATGAGATCTGAGACCATCCAAGACCATGGGCCAATGCGCCTGATGGAAAGCCTCCGGTGGTTCCTGAAGGAATGGCCAGATGAAATTCCAAAGCCATTATCCATCATATTCAAGAAGTCGTGGCAGCCCAGTGAAGTTCCCACCAACTGGAAAAAGGGAAACATAGCCCCCATTTTTAAAAAGGGAAAAGAGGAAAACCCAGGGAACTACAGGCCAGTCAGTCTCACCTCCATGCCAGTCAGTCTCACCTTTGTATCTGGCAAGATCACAGAGCAGATCCTCCTGGCAACTATTCTAAGGCACATGGAAAAAAAGGAGGTGATTGGTGACAGGCAACATGGGTTCACTAAGGGCAAATCCTGCCTGACTAATTTGGTGGCCTTCTATGATAAGGTTACAGCATTGATGGATAGGGGAAGAGCAAGTGACATCCTCTACCTGGACTTACCCAAAGCATTTGATACTGTGCCACACGACATCCTTGTCTCTAAATTGGAAATACATGGTTTTGATGGATGGACCACTCAGTGGATAAGGAATTGGCTGGATGGTCGCACTCAAAGAGTTGTGGTCAATGGTTCAATGTCCAAGTGGAGGCCAGTGACGAGTGGTGTTCCTCAGGGGTCAGTACGGCGACCAGTGCTATTTAACATCTTTGTTGGTGACATGGACAGTGGGATCAAGTGCACCCTCAGCAAGTTTGCAG